AGGAATGTTCCCTCAGGGTCCAGGCAACACTTGTGCCTCATCTGGAATGACAGTGACACCTGGAAGGTCATCCAGGGTTTCCGTAAAGTTGACTTTCACCTAACTGGTGTCATCTCTCAGCTGCACCTCGCCCTGCCCCCCATCTTTCAAGAGCTGGTCCCCAGAGGTTCTTCTCAAGGAGTCTCATTCTCAGAGTTCTTTCCCAGGAAGGGCCTATGACTGCTCTCTCTGGGAGTCTGAACAGCATGCTAGGACTTGCTTCTATTCGTGTTAAATTTCTTTAGGTCAATCACTTTTGTTTGAAAAACAAAACACACACACTTGTACACTAAAATCTCCCCACTTGAAAAAATAGCCTCTTACATGACCTGAGCACTAAATGTATCATCTCTTCCTTGGTCTGCCTTTTAAGTGTTCTATTTTCTTTTTGTAATCTATCCTATTTGCCTTCTAAAACCTTAATGTTTTCTCTAATAAGCTTTCTCTTCCTCGATTTCAATTCTACTAATTCATCCATTGCTTCTGCTCTGAATTAAGAAGGAATCAGGTTTTAGAACACACTTGGGACCTTCCTCAGATTTCCTGAACAAATCTGATTTCTAGAGATAGGAGGGTCTAGCTACAGGTCTAATCACATTCTTATCCTTTGGGTTGAAAAACAGTTAGACTTAATTGTATCTTTAACTCAAGCAAAGAAGGCATCTTTTTCTTTTCTCTTTCCATTATTATGACTAAGGAAGTTCGAAGAAGAATGGATGCATTTGAATCGTGGGGCTGGAGAAGACTATTGAAAACACCATGCACTGCCCGAAGGACAAACTGACCCATCTTGGAAGAAGTATGGCCAGAGTGCTCCCTAGAGGCAAGGATGGTGAGACTTCTCATTTGCTCTGGCTATATTGTCAAGAGAGACCAGACCCTGGAGAAGGACATGTTTGGTGGAGGGGCAATGGAAAGCAAGATGGCCCTCAAAGAGATGAATTGGCGCAGTGGCTGCAACACCGCTTCAAGAATAGGGAGTAGTTGTGAGGACGGCGCCTTGTCTGTAGCACACAGGGTTGTTATGGGCTGGAACCAATGGGATGATACCTAACAATCACAAGGCCTCTTTTTATCTTTTCCCCAAACTCTCATAAAGGCACTCATTTTCTTGGTTTGGTTACTGTGGTAGTTACATAATATGCTGTCAATCTGAGACTTAAGAGTGTAAGGGTGGAGTTTAGCCTATCAATCAGACTGCAGCTTGATGACCTCATTTGGAGGCACTAAAGAGACAAATAGCTTGCTGGAGGCAGGACACTCGCTCACTCCCTGCTAGTCATTCTTGTTGACAAGTCATATGGAGACAGGCTGATGGCAGCCAGGGCCTCAGAGCTGGAGGAGCCACGTGGAGACCCACGCCAGTGCTGAGATGCTTCTACCACCATCGGATTCACGACATTCCACCCACTGGGCTGTGATCTTCTTGCATTTGGCAGTATCGCATGGCTGCATGATTAGTATCAATATATGGGGTAATATTGGACTTATGGACTTCATCTGGCCTGGCCTGTTTTCTCAATATACAATTGCTCTTTTATATAAAACTCTCTCTTATACACATATAAGTCTCCCTGGATTTGTTTCTCTAGTCTACCCAAATTAACACAGTTACTGATAAAATTATACTAGCCTTCAATAGGTATATGCAGAGTGGAAGATTTGGAAATCTAAAGCCTACATAGTTTATGAATTCAGTATACTTAGGACCACTTGAATCTCTCTGGACAGCCCACGTGACTACAAGATTAGTTTTGAGACACTATCTTCATAGGCAGGCATTCACAATTGAACATATATATTCCAGGGTTCTATAACACAAATGCTGCATAAAGAACTTACCGTATATACTTGTGTATAAGCTGAGTTTTTCAGCACATTTTTAATGCAGTTTTCATACTTTGATGCAGAATATCTGCCTTGGCTGATATTTGGGTTGGCTTGTATTCTAGTATATACGGTATTTGCAAAAAAGGTACTAAAATTAAAACTACCATTTTGAAACCCTTAAGAAAGACTAGATCTAGACAACAATTATGAATGGATGTCAAAATCATTATATAAAAGATGGTGAACTGTATGGTACATCAGACGATTGTTGAATTTATTGATCTATTCTGATATCTTTTAAAAAGAGGTACAGTCAGATATTATGTGCCTGATAGGACACAATAGGAACCACATTGTCTCCTAGGAAATATTCCAGCAAAAAACTTATTTTGAACCCAAGTTTTATGAAGCTTTTAGATCTACCAATTCCTGTCCCCTCCCCCACAAAAAAATGGTGCTGGAGGGAAGACACAATTAACTAAAATCAGAAATTGGATGGACTACTCTAGTGATATTTTTGAAAGGGGACCATTTATCCTTAAGGGTGATACCAACCAAACCCATGTGTGGCTCTTACTTGGATTCTTATTTAAGCAAACCTACCATAAGCCATTTTATTTTGAAACAATGCTAGACTTAGAGAATTTGCAATCCTGCGGAGAATACCAATGTCCTTCGCCTGAGCCCATGAATGTCAAAAGCTCACCGACTGCAATGTCGTCGTCCTTCTCTCCAGAGCCATTTCAGTGTTTTCCGACATGCTTTGGAGAATCAATCACAGACAATATGCCCTTTGACCCTTAAATACTTCATTTCCTAAAAAATAAGGCTATCCTCATATATACCATAGGATAGTTATCAAAATCAGGAAATTAAAATCAATATTGTAAAAGTAACTACAGAGCTTATTCAAATTTTGTTATTTTCCCACTAACGTCTTTTATGGCAAAAGAAAAATATTTTTCTGGGTCCAAGATCAATAGTCTTTCCACTACTTTTCATGATTCGGACAATATTAAAAGAATTATTTTGGAGCTGGTCCCTCAATTTGAGTTTAACTGATGCTTCTTCATGCTTATATTCTAATTTGATTATGCATTTTTGGAACACCAAAGAACACGATGCTTTTGTTCTCCACAATGCGTCCTATCAGGAGGCACACAGTTTTTGTCCCATGACCGAGACTACTGTAATAAGACATTTGATACTACTCAGAAGTTTTAAAGATCTCTGACCTGTTCTGCCTACACAAGGACAGACAGAATCCAAATCCTCACCAGCTCAAGTCCTCTAGCCAAAAGGCAGAGGGCAGACATGCTCCACCCTCCATCTTTTGCACCCTATTCTGTCACCAACTGTTTGTCCAACAGCATTCTCCTTCTCTGCTGGGTTTGAGAATCCATTGCAACAGCCACACAGAACTCACAGATGAAATTCATGGTGTGGTAGTTACATAATCTTGTGTCACCTTGAGGATATTAAGAGTGAAGGGGTGGAGTCTAACCTGTCAATCAGGTTACAGCCTAATGATGCCTCACTGTGGGCATGGCCTTCTCACGAGAATTCTGGTAACTTCCTCTTTCTCCCTGGAGGTTGGCCACACTCTCTCTCGGCCTCTTTCTTGCTCTTGAGACACTGCAGAGCTGGAGAAGCCATGTGGAGCCCTGGGCCCATGCTGAGATACTTCCATTGCTAGTGGATCCACAAGACTTTTCACCCACCAGCCTGTGATCTTCCTGCATTTGGCATTATTGTATGTGCTGCGTGCTTGTGAATGTAGCTGTCTTTCCATATGAAAAAGTACTCATGTACAGGACAGACTGATAGAAAATATATCTGCTTCTACCCATTGGATGAGCAGGTAATTGTGCCTTGATCTTGCTTGCCATAACAGATCAACTCGGTTTGCAAGGTTCAAAAGCATATTCGATAGCTTACATTCTGTTGAGCTTTGAGTGATCAGGGAGGCTGTTTTGTGTAGGCTTTACAGTTTATTCCCATTTGCCAGTGGCTTGGAGTGCCATTTGGGATCAAGCATGACAGATTCCAGTAGGGATGGGACAGGAGGAGTCACTGGCTGAGACTACTGTACATGAGAAAACTCTAAGAACATAACCCCTTTAACAGGGGAAGACAGAATATATATATATATATATATATAATTTGTAAGACCACGTTGGGAGTGAGGAAGGTATTCAATCATCATTTTAAATTATGTTTTATTTGTGAAAATGCGGGTGTTAATCTTTAGCACTACTTGAAGCATTGATGTTTAAGCACATATAGTCACTAAGGGCAAAGACATACTTGAGATCATATTCCATGGGTGTTGAAGTAATTGACACCAGCGGCACTTTTCTATTACAAAGCAAATCAGTCCTGTGGCTCCCAGTACCTGGGTAAGCATTCAATTTCCTATTTATAGGAGTCCATGAAACCCCAACATTTAGCCTAAAACAGCAGTGAACACCCTCCTCCTGTCAGCCTTCAACCTCTAGAGTTTAACTGACAGAATTTCTCTGGTGTCTTTATGCATCAATGTGGCGGTGGATTTGGGGACAAAGATCCCTCAAGTGGTTTGGGGTCTTTAGTTTAACTCATGCTTGAACGAAGCCATTCTATATAAAGGCCACATAGGCAGAACAATTTCTGAACCAGTCAAAAGCAATGGTGCCCAAACCCACATGAGCCACATGTTAATTACCATCGTAAGGGAAGGTGTAATAGGATGTCTCAATGCCCATTTCTAGGGAGTTCTACAAATCTAAACTGAAATCACCAACAGTGGCACAGCCAGCTCGCGACTGGTCTGGAGCTGTGTTCAGTGTGTGCACAATCAGGGCTTTGACCATTTGCTCCTTGCTCCTGTGGCTCCTCCTTCGGTCACTTCATGGCAGCTTAGCGCCTGCCGTATCGAAACTGCACTTCTGTCAAGTTCTGTGGCTTCTTGGACGAAGAAGGCTTGTGGGAGAGGACAACTGCTGGTAGAAAGGAGCTTTAAGAAGCATCTGAACGTGCCATTTACCTGTGATTTCCATATCCTCCTTTCATTGATAATTAGGAATTTAATGAAACAAGGCAATTGAAAATAATTACACAATAGAGCTTTACAGCCAAGATACAAAATGCCCTCATTTAAATGTTCTGCTTTATTTTCTGAACATTAAAAAGCCAAAAAAAGTTTATTTACCAATGGTTAATCCTTTGCTGTTGTTCACATGTAAACTATGCTTTTGTGTCTAGTTCACAGGTGAAACTATTCAAAATTGCTTCTGCAGCAGTCTCTTCCAGCTCTACTAGTTTTGCAAACACTCTTGTGGCAGCAGCTGGTTCAAGATGCTGCTTTGCTTTAAAGCGGGTAGCCTCGCTGTATCCTCACTGAGGACGGGGACGTTCTCCTTCTGGCCCTGGGCCGTCAGGTCACCTTCGCTGTCCGACAGTGTGCACAGGAGACTGTCGTTTTCGTAGGTTGGAAAGTAATACCTGAAACAACCACAGATATGCTGAGTAGGCAAACTAATAATAATCCCAGAAATTTCTAGGAAGCATCACTACGTATATTAATATCTTTAGCTATCTAACTATCCATCCATCCACTCACCCACCTATCTAGCTGAGGAGGCTTCAAAAAGTTCCTGGAAAAATTCCATCATCTTTTAATTCTACCATCTACAAGCTTTGTGATGCTCCCTGCATGTAAATCTATATTTATCTATGCACCTGCAATTTTGCTAGGTTTCCCTGCCAACAGCGTCGGTAGCATTTTGCAGTGGTCTTGAGGACGAGGAGGACTCTTGGTAGCATAGTGGTTAGGTTCCTGGCTGCCAACCATAAGCTGGGGGCTTCAACCCCGCAGTCGCCCGCTGGGACAAGCATGTGGCCGTCTGCGCAGGAGGCGTAATTGGTCTGTGCTATGGGATGCCTGTAAGTCAGAGTTGACTTTACGGCGCTGGGTTTTGAATGAAGGAGACAAATGCATGAGTTGCTTTTACCTGTTGTGGCTGGTATCTGCCTTACAGAATGTTTCACAGCTTCTGCTAACCGGCCATCCAGGCTCTGCTGGATACCTACACTGAGAAGGAACTGGTATTCTACAAGGCGGCCGGCTCCAGCATTGGACAGCTCCCGTCTTAGGAACTAGCTCCTTATATGAAGTTAAAACCTGCATCTCTCATTTCCACTCAGAGGACCTAGTGCTTCTTCTCTCGAGGCTAATACAGTTTCAGTTCAGTTTCTTTCTCATACAATAATCCTTTAGAACTTGGGAGAAAATGGTTGTTTCCCCTGGTGCTTTGTTTCCTGATGTAAACACTGCAGGCAATGACAAAACGAGATGTTTGTTGCACTACAAATCTGTTATCCTGGCTCCTTGTTTGAACACGCGTTGGAGGGAGTGCACAGCTCCCTCTGAGGGCTTTGTTCTCCAGGGGTCAATACAGGCCTGCCTCTGGCTGGGGTTTTGCTGAAGGGGAAACACCACAGCCATTAGACTACAGTCCCAGGACCTGATTTAATGTCCCCAAGAATAAAGGAACCGCCAGGCCACACAAAACCCAAAGCCTCTCAAAGTCCCCTCAGCTGAGAAGCAGCGCAGTAGGACTGACCTGGCCAGGCTACCCTGGAGGGTGACAACATCTCACAGGCACCCACTGCTCCACAGTCTTTCTGCCAAGATGCAAGACAGATGCCAAGAGTGGGCATACCTTTGGCATCATAGTATTATTTCTAGACATTTACCTAAATGAGATAAATAGGTAAAAATGTAGGGCTATGGATATCTACTTTTTATCATTTACGAGAACCCAAAATAAGAAGCAACCTATGTAGGTAGCAAATACCACCCCGTGGGAGACTTGGTAACCCTTAAAATGATGCCACAAAGCGTAATAAATATGGAAAGATTTAGTATACAAGATCCTATTAACAAAGTGATACATACACCCAGTGAGATGGGATTTCAAGACCTATACTTATTTCAGTATTTACCAAAAACACTTCTATCTCTACATCACACATTCTGAAATAGTTAATTTCCTTTGTAAGATGTGGCTTACTTCAAAAATAAGTTTTAGAGTTTACAGCAAATATGCCTTCCTTTAAATTTTTAATTTATTTAAAGGTTTTGAAGTTTAAAGAAATTAAACAAAGGGATCAAATAAGGAAAATGGAGACCAGAGGCATCACCTGGTTGGACAGCACTTACTGCAGTTGATCCCACGTCTGCCTTTCAGGAAGCAGTGAGATGTGTTTCGTCTCCTCCATGTGAGTCCGTAAGTCAGCCTTTGACTTGAACTTCACCTGGCAGCCGTAACACCGGCACTGGTGGACTTCCCTTCGGATGAAGTTCACCAGCTTCACTTGCTGATAGAAATTTAATCCTAAAAACATGACAATACCCAGAATCATTAGATAACTGGCAAGACTCAATTTTTCCCTGTTATAATATTTAAAAAGAGCCAGCTCACTTCATTACCCAACCTGAAGAGGCACTCCAATGAGATAGCATAATAAAATATACGAGACAATAACAGCCCACAGGGCTTACCTGCTAGGCACAGTTCTAATCCGCATCTGCAGAAGAATACATTTAATCCTCACAACACTTTATGGGACAGGTGGTATTATTGTACCTAAGTAGATATTAAGAAACTGTACCAGGCTGCACAGCAGGTCAGCGGAGGAGGCAGGATATGACCCCAACTGTTCATTCCAGAACCCACATCCTCGACGACTAAGCTAACGACACAGGCACCGTGGAACAGGTCGTTAACAGCAAGGCAAAGGGACACATTCAGGGGTCTTGGAAAGCTGAGCTGTGGGGAGTGAGCTTTTCGCTCCCTTGGATTAGCGAGCAAGCCAGTACTTTATGTCTAATGGCACCAATTGCTTTTTGCTCAGTGCTGCTGAGAAAGATACGATGAGGTACATCGATTATAAACAACTCAAGGTGCACTGCCAGGCCACGCAGTAGGTGTTTTACAGACACCATTCCTCCCCATCACTTTTTTCTGACTTGTGACCCACTGTCATGCAGCCAGTTAAAAGCTGGAGTTGCAATGTCAGCTCTAGGCTGACTCCCAGACTTAAGCTCTTTCTAGCCCACCCTCCACTCCCATTTATGGGATGGATCATGACTTACATTTTACCTTATGAAGCACTCATTTATGTAGGGAAGAGGGAAACAATGCTGTTTGACATAAAAGCCATTGTTGAGTGTGACAGTTCAAGACAGTTGAGAAGCTTTGGTTCAGAGTGTCATTAAAACCACTGTACGGAGATGCACTGGGACCTGTGGCCTCTCCAGGCAGGATGAGAGACCACGGGGCCGCTTACAGCCCTGTCTCTGAAATGCGCACCTACATAAATAAATAAATACCCTGTGCACCATCATGGAGAACCACTTCCGAAGCAAACTCACCAAGTTCGGACTTTATTTTGAGGAGATTGAATTCGTGTGCATCCTAAAAAGGGAAGGGATACATCTGTAAGGATATGAATTATTCATCCTGTCATCCAAAGCTAGGAACAGCTAATTCCCAGGAGTTTGAGCCTTTTTGAAACTTGGGCTGAAGTGTTGTTAATTGTGTGTTCTCCCACACCAAACTGCTTCTTTAAGCAAAGACCCAACCAGTCAAGCCGAGCAGTCGACCTTCATTGGCCACGCTTCTGCCTGTAGTCGTGACCATGTATGACGGCTGCACTCCGCAGCTGGACAGAAAGCGTCCAGGGGAGGCATGGCTCTGCCGTACTGGACCTCTGCACTAGAGCTCCAATCCAATCAAAGCAAACCCAGGCAGCCCAGACCACTGCTGCCAAGTTGGTTCTGCCTCAGCAGGCTTGGCGGGAGAGAGCAGAACTGCCCCATCGGCTTCCCCAGGCGGTAATCTTTATGGAAACAGAGGGCCCAAACTGCCAACCCTCTGGTTAACAACCAAGTGCTCCAACCATGTGCCAACAGGGCTCCTTAATGGGCCTTCATTCCGTATGCAGACAGTCATTTTCAGAGTTTCTGCTTTCCATTTTACACTGTCAAATACATCGCTTCCCTCGCCAAGCTTCACTTCACTCACATCTTCTCACAAATTACACTTCTTTGGATTTCTGCCATCAGGAGGCTTTTACTTATTCCATTGGTTCCTTTGCTCTGACCGTCCGCCTCTCCAGAGAAGCGCTGGTAGTTACACGCCCATGGAGGACAAAGGCAGACTGAGCCACGGCACCCAGTGTCTCCTGTAGCGCCGAGTGCAGGGTTATGATGAGGAATCCCACGACGTAGAATCACAGGCAGGGGCTTAGCAGGGGGTGAGGACCCGTCAGGGATGACGCTGGGAGAATCTCTACAAAGGGGATGGGCACAGTCTGCTCTCAATGCAGAGCCAGCAGGACCTTGGGAATTGATCACCACATAGGGATCTGTACACATACTCCCATGGTTCCTTGCCTCAGAGACACGGACTCTGCTTTCCCAATGGAAAATGCCCATGATCTTTGTAGCATCTTCTAGGTCCTTCTTTGACCAAATCACACCAGTGGTTCTGAGGGAGCTTGCAGTGGAGATGGGTGAAAGAGCGTATGTGCTGGTGGAAGGGATTAGAAGGGGCAGTGATTTTCCCCCCATTATAAGCAGCCCTTTCCTACTGAGCTGTGACACTGCGGTGAATCATTAGATGCTCCCCTTTCCCACGCACGCCGTCCTGTTGATCAGAGGTGTGGGGAGTGTGCCACTGCTCTAGACAGACCAAAGTGAAATAGGCTCAGAATGTCTACCTCCGAGCTTCATCACTACCTACGAATGACACCCAGACTCGGGGTGGGTGGGAGTGTGGTACAGACTGTGAATGCCCCAAATGTCTTCCCTCCAATCCTTGTATCCAAGGGGGCTGCAAGACTCCATCCGGCCTCCTCTCTACGGAGGACCTCGGCTTCCACCGGGGCTGTGCGAATGGCAATCCCTTCTTCCCCCGGCCCTCCTCCTTCACGGGGAGAAGAGCCAGACCTGTCCTATCTGTACGTCATCTCATCGGCCCCGCATCCTGCCTGGGACCCTGTCTGCTAAGCCAGAGTGATCTCAGAGCCTCCCAAAGGTGGGACTGAGTTGGTGGGCTGTGAAGTCTCTCATCACCAACAGTCCACGAGGGTCCTGCCCAAGGCACAGCTAACTAACCAGCTGAGAGGTGGTTCTCTTGGGAGAACTGTGATGGTCTCTTCTGCGCTATCTTCAGTGCTTTGGGGGATGGGATAACTATGGAGAAACTGAAGGGGGAAGTGGAAGAGGTGGCAGATCGAATGTCCCAGGTGACTAAAAGCTCTCACCTCCATGTGGACATATAACGTCTCGATGGTTTCTGCTTGCTTTTCACAAAACAGGCAAACGGCAGACACAGGGTGCTCCTCCCAGTCAGACCAGTCACTGCGTTCAAAAGAAAACAGAAGACGTGGAAGCTCCCTTCACGGAGAAGGTGCACCACGGCGGTGCTGCCGCCACCTGGGGAACCCTGGCCTAGCCCTTTTGACGCTGACATTTTTGTCAAGACTGTCACATCATATTAGGGCTTTCTGATGCAGCTTCTGAAATTCAGAGTGGCACCATGAAATTACTGCAGCCGGCGAACGGGTGCTGCTCCAGGTGCTGACATCGGCCTCCCGCCTGGAAAGTTCCCTCCCTGTACACTGAGTGCAGTCTCTCTTGGGATGGGTGGGGGGTGGGAGGGGCGCTATCGGGGGAGGTGATGCTCGATCTCATTAGCCAAGACCACCCAGCACGCACCTGACATGGTGCGAGGCTGGGAGCGTGTGGTTGCACAACGAATGGTGTTATTAAAACAGCAGACATCCTTCAGGGAGGACATGCTGATCACGCTAACTGGGCCACGTGTTAAAACAGCAGTCTGCTGAGAGAAAGACTCCAGGGCCGAGCAGGGTCCCTTCTGCCACGCTTCCTCCTCCACGCTTGGCTTGTCATTCCTGAATCGGGAGCAGCTGGGAGAAGAGTCGTGCAGACGAAGCACTAACCGTGCACACTCAAACAAGGGAGGGTTTCTCAAGGCAGGTTCAGAAGTAATGGCTGCTATGACTTCAAAGATTAATGTAACCCAATTCATACCGAAGCTCTCCTGCTCAGAGAGCGGGGACTATGTTCCCTAACTTTACCCATTCAGGAGGGTCACCGGCACCTCTGCTCCAGGCCATTGCATTACTCGTGTGTTCTGAGAGGCCAACACCCGTCCCTAATGTGGGTGCCCTAATGAGCAAGGGACATTTCTATCCTCGTCTGGAGGACTCATGACTGATTCTATAAGCATCAAAGGAAGTTACGTGGATGTCAAGGCTCCAACTCTGGACTTTACCTCAATTAAAAAAAAATTAATTCAAAACTCTGGGGGGGGGGGGGCAGAGAGAGAGGCCAAACAGCTTTGAATTAAAAAAAAAAATAATAAAAAGAAATCCTGTTGGGTTGAAAAGCATACTTTTCAAGCTTATGATTTCATGGAAAGAAGCGGTTACTGTTTGAAGTTCGTCATCAATCGGATGAACGTAAAGTTAATTCCAATTCACATCTCTTCTCTATTCCAGTCGGAAGCGCCATGGGGTGTTGAAAGACCATGTCACTTCCAGATCTGGGGACCAGGTGAATAACCAGCAACTCATTTTTCACTGAATTACATATTACCTGTGTGTTCAATCAGGGAATAGCTTGAACAGTAACAGATTTTAGTGGGAATAATGGTTGCCCTCGTGATTATTATTTCAAGCTATCTGAATTCAAGTTTTTGCCACATTCCATCCAAAGACGGAGGTCTCAGAGTGGGGGGGCGGGGGTGGGGGGACAGGTGCCGATTCTTTAAATTCTGCCTCTTCAGTTCACATTCTCCAAAGATATTTTTAGTCCAAACTACAGAACTCTTTTTTTTTGGTTCACTCTGAAAAACTCTGCCCTTCATTAGCAGCGAAAACTGGTCTTACTCTTCTTGATGGTCTAGCAACTCTCGGTCATCTTCCAGTTGAACTTCTTCCCAAGACTTTCCCAGTTCCTAGGTAGAAAGGACAGTGAGGTTAGAGGGAAAGAAGGGGTGGTGGAAGAGGAAATACATAACTCCACAACAAAGAAAAGACCTTCAAAAGGCTCTGCAACAATACAAGTCAGAGGGGCAGGCGAGAGAGTTTCACTGTTGTCAGAAGCGGTGGAGCTGGCTCCCCGCAGAGCGACCCTGTGCACCAGAGGGAAGACTGCCTGGTGGGTCCTGCTCGGTGCTCACAAGGCTGCTTCTGCTAGCGCCCAGCATTGCAGCCACCGCGTCCGTCCATCTTGCCGAGGGCTTTCCTCTTTCGCTGACTGAGTTAGTTAATTGTGCCAGCCTGGCCGATTATCACATGTGGGTCTGGTTGAAAGGCGGAGGGATAAATGGGTGGTGAAGCCTCGCCTTTCTAGTTCTCGGGTCTCTTGTTTTGTGAAGGTTGCATCGGGTGCAGCTGCCTTAGCAGTTCCCTGCTTTAGCTTGCAAGATGGATTTCCTACAAGACATCCCCAAGGAGAAGCCGCATGGATCTATCCTGATGCAGCCCTGGGTGCTGGAGCAGCCGTGTGGAGACCCCTGCCAGTGCTGAGATGCTTACACGTTCACTGACTAAGCTTTCCTACTGCAGTCAGCATCATTGCCTGTTTTGTGAGGTGGAGGACTTTGTGGACTGGTGTTGGGTAAATGGATTAATGTTGGACTTGTGGGCTTGGGCAGCATTGGGTTGGGATGTTTTCGTGATGCACATTTTCTTTGCATAAAACTCTCTCATACGTGAGTTGCTGTGGATTTGTTTCTCCAAAGTACCTAGACTAATACACTGACCCTCTACTTTACCAAGCATGATGCCTTTCTCCTGGACTGGTCTCTCCCGACGACATGTCCACAGTATGTGAGACGAAGTCTCACAAAAAGGACTATGGACTGTCAAAAGAGCTTCAAAGAAACTGTGGGAAAATTCCATTATCTTTCAATTCCAACTTTTCACGGACTTCTTGACGCCCTCTTATATTAAACATTTGTTTCAGTGATGAGGAACAATACGTCCTGAAACGCTGCCCCCATACGACTTTCTTTTGGAGCAGCAGCATCTTGTTTAGCTGACAGTGACCTTACTGGAGAGCGCTTGATTGTTTGTGTGAACCCCCATGACTTCTTATCACACCATGGCCAACATTCAGAGTCCCAACCCGGTGTAGAAGCCCCCTTGCTCAGTCCCACCCATTCCCGCATAAGTATCGCATCCTCAGCTGGAAACACTGGTCTCTGCAGATTTGCACTGGACTCCCGATCTCTGCTTAAAAGCGACCCTCAACCTTTCTTCCTCTGGTGACCCGTCGAAAATGGTACCTCTTTTTTGCAAGCCACTTTGTTTGCGCTTGAATTTTTGTTAAAGCACTGGTCACTATCTGCAAGCATTTTGTATGTCCCTTTGTGTCCTTATTTGCTGTCTTCCCACCCTGGAATTCAGTCCGTAAGGGGTGTTCCATTGCAGCCCTCGGTGCACGGTGGGTTTGATGAATTGAATTGAGACGGAGAAAATCTAACTGTTTGAGGCAAATTGAGACCTTACTTCAGACGGTTTTTTGTTAGGTGAACACACAGTGCATTGTTATATGTAAAGTCCTCAGTACCGGGTAAGGCTGGAATACCTATCCACATTGCTTTTACCCCTTCTATTTAGTGGAGAAGCCTCACCCTTTCAGTGCTGCGTCTGGCAAGCCTCAACAGAGCTACATCAAAACGTCCCGAAGCGACGGAAGGAATGACTCCCGTCGCTCCGGCCACTTCTCTTCATGGAGCTGCTCTGTCCTCTCGTTTTGACTGTTCTTCTCAAGCGGCGAGAATATGGCTCGGGTCAAGCCCAACCTATAAACTTCTAAGCTCTCTTTGTTTACTATCACTCATTTGGAAAAGTACAACCACAATTCACTCTCAGTTATGAACCTTTTTATTCCTCTCTCTCAAATCAAGGTGTTCATTTAGCTAAAAACAAAGAGCTATTGTGATGTGGGGGAAAGAAAAGCCATCATCCATCCACTTAATGCGCGGCTGTGAAGCTGTCACTGACTCTCAGTTAAATGATGCACACGCTCAGACAAGCAGAGAGGGTGCCGTGACACCGCTCGCGATAGCTCCCGGGGACTCCCTAACGTTCCTCGCGAAGCGTCTGAACCCTGTCCTGACACTGTCCAAGGATCACGAGTCAGCATTTCTGGCAGTCAATCAATCTTTCGGGTGTTAACATTTTCCTTCCTGTCTCTGGACTTAGATTTAAAGTCAGCTTTTTATGGTTGCAGGTGTTACTGAAGGGTAGGCCAGATGTGGTATTACCACCATTAACTATAGGGGAAACACAGGCAAGTAATTAGCAGCAATACCCCGTCTTACTCTTCTGCATGGTCTAGCAACTCTCGACCATCTTCCAGCTGGACTTCTTCCTAAGATTTCCCAAGGTTTTTTTGTTTTGAGCCCAAAGTGACAAAAAATATCTTTTATTACCAAACTTCCAAACTCAAAGTAAACAAGCGGCCATCTAGCTCAGAAGCAACAAAGCCCACATGGAACAACATATCAACCTGTGTGATCACGGGGTGTCGAACGGATCACTGAAGACAAATGGGTGCATAAGCAAATGTGGTGAAGAAAGCTGATGGTGCCCGGCTATCAAAAAGTATAGCGTCTGGGGTCTTAAAGGCTTGAAGGTAATCAAGCGGCCATGTAGCTCAGAAGCAACAAAGCCCACATGGAAGAAGCACACCAGCCTATGCAACCACGAGTTGTCGAAGGGATCAGGTGTAAGGCAACATCAGAACAAAAAATCTTACCATAGTGAATGATGGGGGGAGTGCAGAGTGGAGATCCAAAGCCCATTAGTAGGCCACTGGAGATCCCCTTGCAGAGGGGTCTCGGGGAGGAGATGAGCCAGTCAGGGTGCGAGGTAACAATGATGAGAAATACAACCTTCCTCTAGTTCCTAAAGGTTTCCTCCCCGCTCCCACTACCATGATTCGAATTCTATCTTGCAAGACTGGCTAGACCAGAGGAGGTACACTGGTACAGATAGGAACTGAAAATACAGGGAATCCAGGACGGATGAGCCCTATAGGACCAGTGGTATGAGTGGCAAAACAGGGTGGGTAAAGGGAGAATGGGTAGGAAAGAGGGAACCGATTACATGGAACTGTGTGTGACCTCCTCCCTGGGGGACAGACAATCAAAAAGTGGATGAAGGGAGACGTCGGACAGGGCAAGATATGACAAAATAACCATTTATAAACTATCAAGGGCTCATGCAGGAGAGGGGAGCGGGGAGGGAGGGGAAAAATGAGGACCTAATGTCGGGGGTTTAAATGGAGAGAAAATGTTTTGAGAAACGATGTACAAATGCGCTTTACACAATTGATGTGTGTATGGATTGGGATAACAGTTGTATGAGCCCCAAATAAAATGATTTTTTTAAAAGAAAAAAAAAAAAAGCATGATGTCACAACTCCCTCACTAGATTCATTTCCAACACGGAAGGATTTATCCAGGGGATACAGCATTAACCATGCACCCCTCAAGGGGAAATGGAAATGGATGTATTAGGGATCATAGAATCAATTGTAGATTAGGAAACAGGCAAGTACACTCCCTTGGTTCAGTTAAACATATGACTTAATATAGGAACAAGACCCAAAGAGAAAAACAACAAAGCACAGAGCTCTCTAATTAAGACACTGTGCCTACTAATGAATCATGTCAGGAAAGCAAAGAACGCAAAGTTTTGAAGGCACATCAGTAAAGGCGTTCTGAACTCCCCCTCAAGTCCCTGCATCAGATGGTTTGGGATCGATGAGAGGGTGGAAAAAGCAGGGGTGGGGGGGCTGGAGTTCCCTTTTCCATCTAGCACTTCCTTTCCCTTGGTACATTCACCCTTAGCATGTGTGGTTACACACACACACACACACACACACACACACACACACACACACACACACTCATTAGCAATAGAGAAAGCAAGTGTTTTAAGAAATGACTTTATTAGAACTAGAACAAAACTATGAAAAAAATAGCTTAGGTGCCTTCTATCATTATAAATGGCTTTGTATGTTTCAGAATAAAAGCCTTACATCAAAGAAAGACAACAGTTTCCTTGCACACCGGTGCCACCGCAGTTGGGTGCTCAGCTGCTAACTGAGCCAGCCATGGTTGGCACCCATCCGCTGCTCTGTGGGAGAAAGACGTGCTGTCTGTTTAAGGAGTACAGTTTTGGAAACCCTATTGGGTAGTTCTACTTTGTCCTATGGGGTCACGATGGGTTGGTATCAAACTTAATGCGTCTGGATTTGATTTTCTGCCCTCTTGGTTAGGAGACCCGAGAGCTTGAAATGAGAGCTGTAGATTGGAGGCAAGGGCATCTGAATGGGGAACTAATGGAACCTGGTCCTCTAACCATGCTCGTCATCATCAGAGCCTGTTGGTTTGTGAGAAAATAAAGCAAGAGCTTGAGGTGAGCAACCTAGACAATTTGGATTGTATTTGCCAGTTTGTTAGTATTAGCAACTGACCTGTGTTAATAAAAATGGAAAGTCTCCCACCTAAGAAGGAAAAACGAATCTGTCAATTGGTTGAGCTCAGAGGCGAGCCTCAAACTGCCCACTTTGCTGGTGGGTCTCCCACCTTTATGATGATCAGAGTGCATCTTGCCGGATGCGTCCTCCATCACCTTGAAGTCTGGAGACACTCCATGGGGTGGATGTGGAGGGAAGGTACTCTATGGGTTAGTGACCAAAGGCTGCAGATATCTGCTACAGAAGCAACCATGACATTAACTGCATTCACCATTACAAGGTGTTGAAAGAAACATGCTCCCAGGCCTGTCTCTCATACAAAGCTCCAACTCCCCGAAAACAGGGACTCACATCAGCCCCTATGTCTGCAATATCTTTCTTTCCCTTCCAGCTGGTTTCTAAAAGGCACCCCCATGCCTGTAGACGGTACAACCTCAAGGAGATTGGCTCTGGAGAGACGTCGATGTGAGAGGTGGATGCACACACAGCGAGTCCTAATAGAACTCTCCCTTTTCTGTCTACTCTGGTGGACGCATTTTTCCTTCTAAGGAAAAAGCACAGACTATCTCTCTCTACTAATTGCGTATGCACAGTTTTAGAAGAATTTTTTCTTTTGTATGAAGGAGTCTATGTTAAATATTCCTGACTAAGGGGATGAAAATTAAAAAAAAAAAAAGATGCTGAGAAACCCGTGACCCCCCCATTTCCCACACTCACTGTTCTTTGGGGTAGTCTTTCTATATTCATTTACACATTATTAAATGAGCCTCGGTAACACAATAGACCCCTGCTCTTATACTGACTGAAATGTTGGTGGTTCGAACCCACCAACATTTGTTGTCCCATGGGAGTAAAGAGTTGGTGGCACCTCTCCCATACGGATTTCAGCTAAGGAAGCCCTAAGGGGGTAATTCTACTCTATCCTATAGGGTTACTACACTACATCATTATGCTATTATATAATACATGTCACTATACTGTTATACAAACTCTTCTTTAAGCTTTCCTAGATGTTATTTAAGTTGATAATGCAGATAAGCAACCCCTAGTTTAGGGCATTTATAGATCTTGAGATTCTTTATTGGCTTCTTCAGTGCTTTTCAAAGGTGTTTACCTCATTTCTATAATGCCATGGCATTATAACATTTGTTTACTTTTTAGATCGTTTTTATTGCTGTGGTCATCCATTGACCTCGAGGGGAAAACAGACTGGTCTAAGAGGCTAACGTGGGTTAGAGCCCTTAGTGCTTGATCAAAGTCAGCTTTACTCTGACCTTGGCTCCTTTTCGAGTTTGTTACCAAAGACAACAGGCAATGGAGGATGGCTGGATCAGTACGAATCCAACAGCGCTGCTTGGCTACCACACAAGAATGGAGGGTGACGAGATCAGTGTGAATCTAACACCCTGATGAAAAAGAAACAAAACAGAAAAACAAATAGCTAACCCAAACCAGGGGATGTAGGTATTAATAATATGCCTTCAGCTTGAACACTGAAGGAAACTGGTGCCTTAGTCATGTGATCTTGGGAAGAAACTCAGTTAAACTCTGACTCTACTAATCTACAGAATATGGAAAAAGACAACACTCTGGTCACAGGGATATCTTTAAGACTAAATGATTTGAAAGAAATAATTACCTAGGATAATGCTGAGCACAGAGTAGGTATTCAAACAGTTGCTGGTTTTTCTTTTAAAACAACTTCTAGCAATACTATCCTAGAGTTAACTTGATTTCCATTTTCCATGTTTTTGGTCTCCACACCCTCTTAAAGTGTTTTTCTTCAGCCATGATCCTGCTGTACCAGAACCTGAAGCTCCGTGGGCAGAGTCATCCCGCATGCCTGTCTGGAGAGAGCTGGCCCAACGGAGCAGGAGATTTTCGATTTGACAAGCCACACTACATGCTGCCCAGGGAAAGGACAGGAATCAGCCTTTCCTAAAAGGCCAGCAGAAACAGAGTGAGCGGGCCCTTTGAAGTTACCTCTAAAAGGCAAATACCTCTAGCTTTCTGCTGCTGTACTAGTGGAGTCCCAGGCTCTTGAATATGAGTTTGAAAGCGCCCCAGAAGGAAGCGCTGCGGTGACAGGCCCCCACACCCCGTCCCGCAGCTCTCTGTAGCAGCTGACGATGTCTTGGCGGGTGACACTGCTGCCTGCTCCCTGGTGGGTTGGATTGGGCCCTGAAGCAGCGTTTATTCTAGGAAGTGATGTGATTGAGTGACTGCAAGGGAAGACTGGCTCACAGGCTGCCTTTGCCTTTAGCTGGTTATAAAACATCTGCAGCTGACCGAGGCAATCTCTCCGTGGCTCTTCAAACACATGTTAAACTTGCTTCTCAAGGGGAATTTCATTAGAATATTACAAGGATTAGAACAGACGAAAATGGGCCCTAGAGCAGAGATTTCCAACACAATTCAGGATGTGCTTGTTTCTATCCAACAGATGAAAGGTCTGATTATATCCAATTAGCCTTCGGTGGCCATTGGGTTTGGACTTTAATTCACTCAAATTAGGTTGGGGGAGAGAAAAGCAAAGCAAACAAAAACCGGTTTTTGTTTTTTTGTGCTTAAGAAGAAAACCAGCTAGAAACAGAACTCCCAGTCTTTTCTCAAGTCCCAGTGGAGAGTGATTTCAGCCTTTCACTTTATAGGGGTGATTTCCCTGTTTGCTGTATGCTAGCACTCCCCAGGCGCGGTGTCAGTCAAAACCCCCCTCCCACATTTTCAGATGCCTCCCCCCACCCGGGTGACATCTGTTGCCAGCTGAATACCTCTTCTTAATTGAAAGGGACTGTCATGTATGGGTGTTGGCAAATGTACTGAGGTTGGCATGGAAAACCAGTTAGTCCGTCCGACTAACCAAACAAATGAAATCTACTTATATAGTAGGACAGCTGGGTTTCCAGGAAACTTGCCATAAAATACCTGGTCCCAGAGGACGACAAAGATATAACCACTTGATGGTGGTAGCAATCGAACAATTATGCTTGATCTGATGGATTTATGGATTGTTATATCTGTAAGAGCTCCCAATAAAATGATTAATAATAAAGAAAAAGATAAAAGCAATTTATTTCGCCCCCATGAACATGAGGGAAAGGATGAACTTTTTATTGGGGGCAGGAAGAAGAGTACAGATATTTTCTTTCTTTTATAAAAAATCATCTAGTGTAAGAGCTCGTATATCCAGTATTCAGCAAATGCTTTCAAACAGAATGTCAGGCATCCCCAAGTTAACAGATAATGCAGTAAATGGGAGGATAAAATAGAAGGGCAAATCTCTGAGTGCTGTAGGTCTATCTCTGCTGGTTTAGTTCATATCATCATGCATTGACCTTGTATACATAAGTGACAAATCAACAGCAAATCTAATTATGTTTCTTTTTTTTAATGATCATTGTATTGGGGGCTTTACAGCTCTTACAACATACCACACATCAATTATATCTTGCATATTTGTACATGTGTTGCCATCATCATTTTCTAAACAGTTACTTTCTACTTGAGCCCTCCCACCCCCACCCCCACAAACTCTGGATAAATTATTATCGTTTTCATATCTTCTAATTATGTTTTCTAAAGACCATTTTAAAGCCAATCACTGCAACCCTTGGTTACACTGTGACCTATGTACTAAGTGAGGATTCCAATATTCGTTCGCCCGTGGAAGGGTTTTGTCTGCAGCGCTGCAATCAAATTTCAGATTATAAAGAGAAAGGCTTACCAAGTAATTGATGACATAAAATCGGTCGTATTCCCGGTTCTTCGGATTGATCCGACGATGTTGTTTTTTCCTCATGTGGTCTCTCAGGGTGTTTCTGTCCCTGAAGGTCTTCTCACAGTACAAGCACTGCAAGCTGAAGGAGACACACCAACGCGGACAGGGTGGGTCAATCGCTTAGGTAGTTGCTGCAATAGCCCTTTATTACTATTCTTTTAATACTTATTAATTTTAGGTTACATGGAATCTTCAAGTGGGAAAGGACACGAAAAGGTCACCAAGCCTATTCCCCCCTTATTGACATGGGCATGTTCCAAAGATCAGGCCATTACGTGCAATCTTCATTATTCTCAGGTCAGGGACTGTCCCTGCATATCTGGTGCCAGTGTCTACCATGGGTGTTAAACTGCCCTGCAGGAGCCCCTGGGGTCCCTCAGCATGTGTGGTGACATGGTAGGCTCTCCTTCCCCACACGGAACTGTACGGGTCGGGGGTGATGGTGTTTTCCTCTACCCACCATCTCCTGCTGCCCACCCTAGGTGGTGACCCTGCTTGTCCACCATTTGCCCTGGCTCGACAGCGCTGCCTGTTCTGCTTTCTGCCTCTCCCCACTGACCTCCCGGCTACCCAGGCCTGCAGCCCACCTCGCCTTGCCTGCCCACATCCTCTGGGTGGACTGAGAGGTCTCGGATAAATGGGAGAAGGTGACCTTTGATCAGTTGGCCATCCCCCCTCATCCTTCATGTGGTCTGGTGGACGCTGGGGCCTGCAGTATCGCATTCAGGGCGGTCCCTGGAGGGTGTCCTGGGCCCAGCCATGGTCCTGTGTTGGGCTTGGACCATCACAGGCAGTGTTGAGAAATTTTCCAAGATTATCACGAGTGTGCAATGTCAGACAATGAGTCGTTCAGTGCGGTGTGGCGCAGAAGAACATCACTTTATCACGCCTTTGTCAGAGCCCCTCACTTTACTCATTTGCTTTGTGGTTTGACAGCAGGTGGTTTATTTTGCAGATGGCCAATTTGGTTGCCTTGACATTTCAGTTAAAACTGACAATGATGGTTAATATTCAAAGTGTTTGTGCTTTATCAATGGCATTATCTTTCTATAAATAAAAATGTACGTATGTTCTTGTTATACACGGTCTCAATGAGCCGGAGCTGACCAGATGGGCATCCTAACAACAACGGGTATGTTCTTCCTCCTGTAGGCAGGACGCCATGGTCTCATATGAAACTGAATAAGGTAGAACAACTTGACAGAGTATGCACTTCACTACATATGCAGGGAAACGGTTGTATAAAGCAAAGAAATCTACAATTTAGAACAGTGGTGTCTAAGAGGATACGAATATGGAAACAGATCTTACAAAGGGAAATTCAGAGGCATTGATAATGTTCTATTTCTTGGGCTGCCTTTTGTGACACCCTTTGTGTGGCATGTACATTTAATGGTATACACAACGTGTTCTATTTAAAATTTTTGAAACACTAAAAGGCAATATGATCTAGACAAAAGAGACTTGTTCCACAAAATATGAACTCTGCTACCTTGAAAAATGAGTAGGTTTCACGTCTTTAATTACTTTTATACTGTCAAATTAATCAGAACAAGTCCATAACAGAGTTCCAGATTAAAACAGCCTCAGACGTGGTTCATAAAACAGCACCTAAACAAACACCCCAAAACAAAACAAAACAGCTCCTACTTGTCCAGCTTCTTCTGGAGGGTACACAGAAATTCACTGCAGTTTACAATGTTGTCTGGCAATCCAATGTTGAAAGCATGTTCTCTGGCCATGTGGTTCAAAAGCACAGATCTAGGAAGACATTTGTGTAACCAGCATAACTTACATATCACCTAAGAACACATCAGCCTATGAACAGCATTTGTGTGAATGTTATTACACAATGTGAGCATGTTATCTGACACCAAGGGGACACACATTGTATGATCTGCTTATATAAGGGGGTACC